CAGATCATATTTTATATAACACATGTTATATATTTTATAAAACATATATAGATGTTATATATCTATAATATATAAATGTACATAACTGTATATATATTATATTTATATCCATAATGGGATCCATGGTGAGCATGAAATCAAAGCAAAGCTAGGCTTAACAGAAATATCATCTCAGCCATGTAAAGTCCTAGAGAACCAACCCTGCCCCAGTTACCATTTAAGGAGTGATCAGAGAAAACTGACCAGGATGTCAGAGATTGGGAAAGAATAGAGTTTCAAGAAGAAAGGCGGCCAACAGTGTAACATTCAACAGCATGGTCAAATAAGATGAGGTCTGAAAAAAGTTCTGTATTTGGCAATGAGGGGAAGCCACTGACAGGGTTTTGCCAGGGAAGTTTCAGCAGAGAGGTGGGGACAGAGGCTGAGGGTGCAAACAGTGATTGCTGCTTACTCTTTCAGAGTCTGACTATAAGGGAAAGAGAAATTAAAAGCAGCAGCAGAAGGTACTGCTCAAGTAATGCTGTGATGAAGGCGGAGGGTGGTAAGCAGGGTGAGCTGCCCAGAGGCCAAGTTAACTGGAACTGGAGACTACAGACCTGAAATGTCACCAGTCCAAACAATTGAATAATTTCCTCCAGGAGTGCTCACTCAGTTGTAAGAACAGATATGTAGATAAAAAGTAGATTTTGGGGGGATGAAAACTTGCATAAAGGGGCAAATTTACTGAAGTTGCTCAAAAGAGAAAGATTGAAAAAATGTACTGTCACTGTGATACTGCCATGATAGCTGCCAGCCATATGTGGCTATTTAAACTTAAATTATTTAAAATTAAATAAAATGCAAAATTCAGTGTCTCTGTCACACTAGCTACCTATTAAGTGTTCAGTGCAGCTGGTGACTACCGTATTGGTCAGCAAAGATATAGAACATTTCCATCATGGCGGAGAGTACTTTTGGAAAGTATCAAATTATAGGGTCTAAACTTGGCGGAGCTGACATCTTGATGAAGTTGAAGACCAGGTGTAGGTAGAGTAATCAAAAGCAAATCTTGGTGGAAGATACCTTGTGGACAGAATTAGGTACGCTGAGGTTTAAGATCTGGGGGCAGAGCTGTTCTTGGTGATAAGGTTTAGGGTTATGTCATGGGAAAGAGGCTGCTGAAATAGCCTGTGATGAAGATCTCTGAAGTGGGAAAGAGCAAAGAACTCTGAGGCAGGGTTGGTAGTAAGCTCATCCGTGCCAAAGTCACCCAAATTGACAGCAATAATTGACTGGAAAGAAAGACTTCGCATTTAATCCCTCAGTCTTCAGAGAGCAGGGAAGTAGCGACGAATGGCGCGTACCTGACAGCAGTGAGAGAAGAGAACACCTCAAAAGGGAAG